ATCCTTCTTCAGAAGACAGTTTGGTTTTATCTTTCAAAGTCTCTAAAAAATCAAAAACATTGAAGTCATTTGGTAATTTCTTTTCCTGTTCTGTGTTTTCTGATGTTACTGAGCTGAAAACATCATTTGAGTCAATGTAATCCTCTAGGTTAACATGTTCTTGTTCTTCTGCTTCAACAAACAATTCACTGCAAACTTTTTCAATTCTGTCCAAATCAGTTTCTGACAAACTTTCAGAATTAATGAACACATCGGTTTCAATGTGATCTTGTAATACTTCATCTACACAGCTACATACACAACAACTGAGATCAGGCAAGGGAGGACAATCAGATAGGGAAGAATAAAATACACCAACGCGGGAATCTTCTTTAATGAGCTTCTTTGGATTAAAATTAACAATATGCAGACCTTCTTTCGTCGACACTCTGGAGCAAGCAACATACAATTGACCTGGCAAAAATTCATTGCCACTGTGGACAACAGCAGCCTTTAATGTTTGTCCCTGTGCTTTATGAGCAGTAATTCCCCAAGCTAATATCAGAGGAAACTGAGATCTTTGCCCAACAATAACATCTTTCATTCCAGATTTGTATGCAAACCATGTACATCGATGTAATTTGGTGACAATACCAACATCTTTGAAATCAACAGTGGGACCATCTTTCTCTAACTGGACAACTTTCCCCCGGGTACCATTCTTCAACTTTTCAGAAATATTATAAAGCAGCATTACTTCTGCACCAATTTTCAGTTTCAACTGACTTTTTGCCAAAGTAACTTTATTCAAAGTGTTCTCACTCGCTGTGTCAATGGCATCATACACATAAATGTCTCCAGGTAAATTTATAAGTTTATTCATATTATGAAAGTTGGCCTCAAAATTAGTGCAAAAAATATGTGGAATAAACTCCAATCCAAACGTTTGTGCATCAAGAGTTTTTTATGTTAATTCCTCAATAAGGGGTTGCATGTCATCTGAAATAACTCCTGATGCAATACCCCTGAGAAAATTAATGAACTGCTGCTGTTCTTGCCTGTAAACAGTCATGAGTAATACATTGTGTTTGAATGTTGATTGCCACAATCGACTCTCAAAACAGAAGTCGCCTTTGTCAATATCACTTGGAACTGGGGGAAGTTGTTTAAAATCCCCAACAACAATAATTTGAATCCCCCCAAAAGGTTTACAATTCTCTCTTGTTTTCTGTCCCAAGTGATGAATTGCTTCAAATACCTTTCTACTCAGTTGAGAAATTTCATCGATGATCAATGTATCAGTGTTTTTCCACCTTGCCAAGCAACTTTCCCGATTTCGTACAGATACTATTAACTCATACACATACTATTAACTCATACACATTCATTCGAGAATTTACAATGCCAGCAAAAGCATGTAAAGTGCTAGCCTTCTCATACAAATCACATGCCATGCCAGTTGTACAAGTTACAGCAACATTCTTTGTTGCAGAAAGATAACTCACAAGCCTTTTAACTGTGAAAGTCTTACCAGTACCACCTTGACCACCAAAGAAAACATTGTGCCCTTCAGCAGCAAGATCGAATACTTTTTTTTGCTCATGATTGAGACCAGAATTGATGGTATCCGTATCACACCTTTATAAATATTAAAGTTATTAAAATAAATGATATTATAAACTTTAATGATACATGTAAACAGTAAAACACACTTTATTTGATATTTGGTCAGAAATATAGAAAACAAGAGTAATAATTTTACCAAAACACATATAAATACGTACATATTCATTTATTATGTTCAGCAACAAGGGGGAATTTCGTTCTCGACTTATTTGCTCCATTTGCCAACGGGAGACTCCGAAGAAGTATCGTGTCAAGATCGGAAATAGTCGTGTCATAGCAACCTATGGAACACATCCAGACATTCACTCATGTGCAATCGATCGAGAAAAACATTCTCATAAGCAATTATTTTGAACAGTTTAACCGAACGATATCGAAGAATAGGCCCTAGTATACTTTATGGCAACATAAAACTCTTATTTTTTATTTGTCATAGCAACCTGTGGAACACATTCGGACAGCCTTCGCCAATGTTTCATCCCTTTATTTTTTCCTTTTTAGCTCTCGCGCTCTTGCCAGCCCGCAACCAGCCCGCAACAGGCAGGCCGCGCGCCCTTAGATTCAGCACTGAGCTATATAAATACTATATGTACATTCAATATTTGCTTTCAATAAGATATGGGATGGGCTCCCTGTGTCACGAGTCGACATTTTGACTTTAATCATTGAACATATTACAAAGAGTTTCATTCAACAACTCGACTCCTTCGTCAACATCGTCAGTGTTGGCATCGTAAATCCGGCTCCAGTCATATATATACCTTCAATTTATTCTCCATTTTTATTTTTCGGTGGTGTACCTCACATCACGAAAATATACAAATTTTCTCTCAGGCTTAACAGGTAGCTGCGGAGTCACAACAACCGCAGAATGATCAGAGCGTACCAAACATCTAAAAACAATAGGAGCCTTCCATAAATGAGGGATATTTGTCAAGAAAACATCCAGTATCCGAGAACCTCTAGTAGGTTTCCTCACGATTTGATCAAAGTTGTGCTGAATGCAAAAGTCGTGCATGCGCAGTTGATTTACATCACCAGCAATAATTATTTTGGCATTAGGTTGCAATAACAGAATCTTCTCACAGTATTCAGATAAGAAATTAAGCAAATCAGATTCGTTGTAAATTGGCTCAGGTGAATGATACACTACAGAGACGCAGTATGAACTATTCATAGTGTGAATTTCGCACCAGATACGTTCGAAATTGTTATCGAGGTCGACATTGATAATTTTCCAATCATTTCTACACAAGATGGCAACCCCACCTCCTGGCCGAAGATCGCGATCCATACGAACTATAGTATAACCACTTGGACATATTAAAGTTGAGGGGATGCACTTATGAAACCATGTTTCTGTAATAAAACATACGTCTATATTGTTATGGAGAAGTTCACCTGTCAATGCTGGTAGAGCATCAGGTTTGACCAATGAACGGGTATTGTTTGACCATACATTTTGGAGTTATCTTAGCTTGAGGGGGTCCATCTTTGAGTATCTTAATTGTCTTCAAATTACTGGGGTTACTTCTATTTTGGTTAGGGACCCTTCTAGAATTTCTAGCAGTAATTCTTCCTGGTATCGAAGCCGTTATACCATAATGTATTGGTCTCGTGTTTTTGCTCTTGTTGGTCTCCTGTTTTTGCTCTTGTTGGTATTGTACTACCCATTATACATACGTTGAGGAATTTCCCGCGGGGGTCTTAATATTCTGCTGCACGGTAGGATTTCCCTTGCGTTCATTTTGAACCCATGGCTTACAGCGAACATGTTTTGGCCAGAAGTTTTCTACAAGTACGTCTGAACTAGAAGCCAAAGGGATAGAAATCTTGGCCGAAATTGTGCCTCTACGTTTACTTTGGAAAGTGGTAATATTATTGGGGTTACATTTCTATTGTCAAGCTACGAGTAGATTTGACCTTTATTAACGGATTCAGCGATGCAGGAAACGAAGAATTGTTTGTATTTTGCTCTCTTTTTACGCTCAACTCCGATGAAACCTTCATCTGAATTATTAGGTAAAATTGCTTGTGAATCTCTTTTTGCTTTCTCATTGTGGCCGGGAGAGCTATTTTCTGGCGCGTTTATTAATGCAGGATTTAATTGTACGGCATCAGCATAGGTGTGCTTTTGTTGACTGTTCAGATGGGTTGAGTCAATAATTGACGCATTTAGATTTATATTAAGGTTTTCGTCATAGCTTAAATCAAAAGCGTTTTCTTTCAAGGAGGGAGTGCATTCTTCTATATTGTTTTCACTTGAAATAATTAATTGTGTCAAGACAATAGGGTCTTCGGAGTTGGCGTGATTTGCATGCTCGGCTTGCTTAACGCCCTCTAAAGGGACTTCTTCGTGTTCACTAATATCCTTGTTATAAATACCCTCGTTTCTTTTTTGAAATTGAGAAATAACAGAGGCGATGTGAGAAACAGATTGTGCCAGAGATCGAATAGATTCGCAGTTAGCCAGCTGCCCTGCTTTAAGATTTTCAATATCATCTGTAGGTTCATGGGTCGTCATGCTTGATTGCGACTCATGTACTGCCGAATCACCCGGGTTTGCACTATCTGCAAGCATTATTACCTCACATATCTGCTTTCAGATTTCGCTTGACTCTTCGCCATTCACAGACAGCAGCCGTTTGTTTTCCCGCCAAATAATACTTGAATCGCGAAACGTAAAAACCTTTCTATCACCTCCAGGCTGAGACCATTCGCCATCAAGTTACAGAGAGTCTTTCACAAATTCTTTCAACGAGTCGAATTCGCCGGTGCAGGCAAGGCTTAGATTCTTTATGAATCCTGCCATTGAAGCTACAGTCGGTTATCTTTCTTCAATCTTTATTAAATTCGTTATTCATTACCCAAATAGTGAGAGTAAATTTCGGTTATTTAGTAGAGCACAAAGA